AAAGGCAGAGATTTTTCCAAGTTAGTGACATCCTATGGTAATATTTCACAGCCAGGATAGAAGAGAACGATCACGATAAGGGCTGTTTTGTGGAAAAATGCTCTCTGTAAGGTCAACAGCTTGTACAAGATTAATTCCATAATTGAACTTTGAGACATTGTCTGAGGTGTTGAGGTGAAGTGTTCTGGAATTGTTTAGGGTTCAGGGGAAATGGATTTGCCATAATAAAGGGAAATTTTAAGATAAATAGGTTATCAAGAAGGATGTATTTCTCTGTAGTGACAAATGTGTAGATACTATCCATTAATTTCACAATGTTAAAGTTAATCTCAGTGTAAACAATTTTTGAATTTTTGAGAAGATCTCTTTCAAGAGATCCATTAGAGAGGCAGAGGTGAGAGTTATATAAGACTTTATTCCATTATTACCCAAAATAATAACCAGGCAACACTTACAAGTGGTTTACTTATACTATCTGGTTAATCCTTATAATATCCCTCTGAAGCAAGTATTCTTAATTATTCATTTCACAGAAGAAGAAGAAATTGACAAGTAACAAGCCTAGGTAGACTGACCAAAGGTCCACCATAAGGACATGGGAGAGGCAGGACTTGAACCCAGACAAATATAACGGTAAAGACAGAATTTGTGCTCTGAATAATATACTACCTCTACATTAGACTTCAGTAGTCTTGACCTTCCGCCCAACAATTGGCCCCCAACTCCATGTGAGGCACCGGCTAGTCTAACATAATCTGCCCACCATTACTTTGCTTTTGGGTAGAAAAGCAGAAAGAGCTTGAGTTTTATATTCTAACTTGGATTGAATCTTTGTTCCACTTTCATGTTCCTAAGTTAGTTATTTCTTCACCTATAAAATAGAGGAAAGTAATAACCTCAAAGAGCTGCCATGGAAATTGAAATACCATATGTGAAAGTGCTTAGAACAGTGCTTGGCAAATCATAGATGTTTAATAAATATTAGTTTCCTTTCTTCCTTCCCTTGCCAGACAAAAGTTGTTCTTCCTTACAAAGTCGGTTTGCATGAAAATGCTTCCATGGCTCTCAATTTATCACAGAATCTTCAGAAAAGTTGCTCACTAGATCAAATGGACCCTATTAGACGTGGAATCTCAGAGGCTTCTAATCACCCTCCCCTCCCAGGCAGGGCGTGCTGTGGAAAGCCCTAATAGAAGTTTATATAACCTGATGTTCACAATTCTCTCTTTTCTGGATTTGGGTAGGCTTTTTAATTCTTATTTCTGTGACTCTTGCTTTCCTCTCGTTTCTCTTACATGACCCTGCCCCCAATTCCAAAATACACTTTTATACAAATGAACTCTAGCTCAAACTGCTTATATGCCATTTCTCAAAGATGCCTTATCATTTCCTGCTTCCACATTTTTTTTCTTCTGCCGGGCTCTCTCCCTGAAATAACCCTTTACCGAAAATTTATCTATTGAACTTTTACCTTCAAGGCTCAACTCAAATGCCTGTTCCTCATACATCTCTGGCCACTATGAATGGAAGTGATCTCCCTTTCTACTAAATCACTGTAGCACTGCATATCACTTAATGGACAGATGGCAGATACTGTAGTATTTTGGGGCTGAAGACTGACTGAAATGGCATCTGAGGGGCACCTGGGTGGCTCAGTCAGTTAAGTGTCCAACTTTGGCTCAGGTCATGATTTCATGGTTTGTGGGTTCGAGCCCTGCATTGGGCTCTGTGCTGACAGCTCGGAGCCTGGAGCCTGCTTCAGATTCTGTGTCTCCCTCTCTCTCTGCCCCTCCCTGCTCACACTCTGTCTCTCTCTCTCTCTCTCTCTCTCTCTCTCTCTCTTTCTCTCTCTCTCTCTCTCTCTGTCTCTCAAAAGTAAATAAATATTAAAAACATTTTTAAAATAATAAAAAATAAAATGGAATCCGATTAGCAATCCCTTAAATGGCCTCTCCCAATGCCTTACTAAAAAAAATCTCTGAAGCCAACAAAAGCCAAATTCTCACAAATACACTAAAAACTAATAAACAAGCTATTATCAGAATGAGGAAAGAATTTCTGCAATTTAAAGGCCAGAGGAACTGTATTGAGAAATGATAAAAATTGCTTTCCCACTGGGGCGCCTGTGTGGCTCCGCTAAGTGCTCAACCTGGGCTCAGGTCATGATCTCACGGTTTGTGAGTTCGAGCCCTGCGTTAGCCTCTGTGCTTACAGCTCAGAGCCTGGAGCCTGTTTCAGATTCTATGTCTCATTCTCTCTCTGCCCCTCCCTGACGTGTGCTCTGTCTCTCTCTGTCTCTCACAAATAAATAAATGTAAAAAAAAATTAAAAAAAAAACCGCTTTCCCATTAAAAGTAGATTAAAATTCTTGGTCTGAGAGAACCACTCTTTACGCCTTCTCAACTGTTTACCTCCTACTCAAAACACAGGAGCCCTTGGGACACCTGGGTGGCTCAGTTGGTTAAGCGTCCAACTCTTGATTTCAGGGGTTGTGAGATGGAGCCCTGTTTCAAACTCAGCACAGAGTCTGCTTGGGATTCTCTCTTTCTGTGCCTTCCCCTCTGGTGTTCTCTCTCTCTCTCACTCTCTCAAAAAACAAAACAAAACGAAACCATACATCACCAACAACAGCCAAAAAAAAAAAAAAAAAAAAAAAAAAAAAAAAAAAATGGTGGGGCCAAACATTCTTCTATCAGCTAGGTGAGATTTTATGGAGTATCCAGAATGCTACCCCCTAATCTCTAACAGGGATTCAAAAAGTTAACCATAATAATAAAAATTAGAAAAGGCTTTTCAAGATCATGCAAAAAAAATTAGCAGGTATGCCAATATTAATTTTTCTCAAGTGGGAGGTTGCAGGAAGGTTAATTGGAGGAAGGTGATCAAAAGGTAATATATTATGTCTTGTACATGATGTGATGTACAACATGATGACTATAGCTAACACAGATGTGTGGTATATTTGCAAGTTTTTAAGAGAGTAGACCCTAAGTTTTCATCACAAGAAAAAAAATTTGTTTTCTTTGTGTGTGTGTGTGTGTGTGTGTGTGTGTGTGTCCCTAGGAGATAATGAATGTTAACTAAATTTATTGTGGTAATCATTTCACAATATACTTAAATCAAAAAAGATTGCCATGCATTTTAAACTTATATGGTGCTGTATGTAGATTACATCTCAATAAAACTAGAAAAAGTAATAAGATGTGAGGCAAGACATAAAATTAATAGGAAAGTAAATGTTTAATATTGATAAAATTTATAGTAAAGATATAATTATGAATCACTTCAAATAAAACAATGGCTGAAATATATAAAGTAAAAATCATTAAGAATATAAGGAAAAATAACAAACACAAGTGTTGTGGAAGACTCACATACATCTCAGGCGTTGAGAAATCCAGTGGGAAAAAATAGATTGGAATAATATTTTTAATAATATGCAGTAATATAATAAATAAGGTGATATAGATATACATATGTACATAGATAAATTTATAGCTAGCTAGCTAGAGGTAAATAAATAATCAAACTAGTTGCCTCCAAAAGTACCTATGAAATATTCAGAATACTTTATCATAGTGTTTGTCCCCAAGAAAGAATTAAGAAATTCCAAACTTTAGAAGTCCAACCATTCTCTGATTTGTATTGCTATAACTAGAAATTAATAAGGAAAATAAATTTGTAAACACATAAACATCAAGCCAAAGCAAGAATTAAAACTACAATTACAAACCATTTATTTTTTTTATAAACCATTTAGAAATCAATAAATAGGACATTACATACCAAATTATAGAATGCCACCAAAGCTACAACCAGAGGCAATTTCGTAACAGGAAGAACTTACTCACTTTTGTTTAGTGGGGTTTTGTTGTAGGTTCTAAAATTTTTCCATTGTTTAAAATTAAGCTGTAGCTACTTGAATATTTCCAGATGTAGTGCTCCATAGTAAATGTGTAAATCGCCCTTCAAATGAAATACGCTGGACCTAGTATTTGCTCTTACTGTCTTTGTTCACATTTGCTATGACCTGTTTTTCCCTGTTTTCCATTTCCTTGGAACACCAACCAGTTGGCACCGTATTTGATCACCTGACTCATGCCTAAGGCCCTTTAACCTAATAGTTTTTGTGAATAAAATCTCTGATTTTGACCCTCAATCTTGCACAGGTTATTTTATAGTTACTTCTTGTTTCCAAGCAGCTAATGTTACTGGTAAGAGGCACTCACACCTTCTATTGAGGGCACAAGGGGCCCTTATAATTTGGCAAAGCCCCACCTCACCTCTCAACAAGAAGAGGGAAATTACAGAGGGAAGATAAATGTAATTTAGAATAAGAATCTGTGATCTCTATGGTCCTTATGAGTTTATCACAGAATTAAATAAATACATATACACACATATATAGATGCATGCATGCATGCATACATAGATGGAGGCTACAGATGCTATTATTTGGGGATTCACTCAGACATTATAAAAAGTACATATATTTTAAAACTTTTAAATTCTACTTCAATAGTAATACTGTGAACTAAAATTGATTTTTCCCATTCTGAGCTTCCTATGTCCAGTAAGATCATGTGTCAAAAATATTAGATGGCTATATGATTTCTATACTGAGCTCTCAGACATACAAAAAATAAAATTGTTTTGTGTTATACATAATTTCTCAATTCAAAAGTGATGTTTACTTTTCCTAAATTTTTCACTTAATATTACTAGCCATTTTATTATTTTTGTGTCAAATATACCTATTAATGAATTATAGTGCATTTTCTCAATTCAGATTTATTTCCAACAACAAAACTTTCAGTTTCCTGTAAAGAAACTCTGGATAGTTGCTATAGTCCACTATGGTACCATAAGAGGAAAAGACATTTGGTCCTTATTTCTGTAAAACTTCTCACTGAATTGTGTGTATGCACAGAAAGACGAATTTGTGTGATCAAAATGATTCACGTGGTGTCTAAACCTATTAACATTCTTCCCCAATGTAGACGAGGGTCCAACGTATCTCTTACATTGGACATGAGTAGCTTGGGGAATGTTGAACCTTTTGTGGCTATCCCAACCCCACGGGAGAAGGTAGCAATGGAGTATCTGCAGTCAGCCAGCCGAATCCTCACAAGGTCACAGCTGAGGGACGTCGTGGCAAGTTCACATTTACTCCAAAGTGAATTCATGGTGAGCCAGCTGTTTATTATTCACTCCTCAGTAGGTATTTTGATAAACTAGACCCTAGAGGCACCTACTAAAATGGCACTGTCCTCCACTCAAGTAAACAAACAGTTACAGTTTAAAAGGTTAAGTACAAGGTTTTAGAGCCACCCTACATCTCATCAAGTACTGATAAATGTTCAAACTAGCATGTGATTACTAAATTGAGGCAGAGTATGTAGGAGCTGGCCAGGCAGAGAAGTATCAAGAAGGAACTAGGCAGAGAAGAGGCATTTCAGGAAGAAGGAACAGTTTACTGTCACTGTTTGGGGAATTAAGTTGTTCGATTTAGCTGATGCATTGAAATCAAGGTGGAAAGTGGCAAAGCTTGAGCCTCAGAGTTATAAAAGAAACCCGAGTCTTGATACATATTTAAAAGTTTGAACTTTATCTTAAGTTTGTAAAAGATCACTCTATCTGCAGTGGAGTGAACATTAGAAAGGGGTATGTTGGAAGCTCTAGAGTGATCCTGTGGACTGGGCATGGTGGTCTAAACTAAGATAGTAGGAGTGAAAATGTGGGAAACCTATAGGAATCTGCAAGAAGGGGGCCGAATTGGATGAGGCGGCCAAAATAAGGGAAGAAGTCAGAAATGATACGTCAGTTTGTGACATGAGGAACAGGCTGCATACAGTGACCTTAAATGAAATAAGGAACATGGGGGAAGACCAAATGTGGGCTAAAGAGGATTGGGAGTTTTAGCCAAAAGTGATGGCAACCCATCAGTGTAGCTGGTGATAACTCGATTCATGAAAACACATTTCCGACCCAGAGAGCATGGAGACAGATTAGACCTTCTTAGTTCTAATTACTGCCCAAGGGGATTATGCATTTTATAGCTCACTTTAATCTTAAATCAGTTGTACATCGTAAGCCAAAGTCTGTTGATTTTAATAAATTGATCATCCCAAGTTCTGTTCAGATATTTGCAGTCACTCTAATGATGAAATATCCAGCAATGGGCTAGATCTGCTGTTAGCCTCTTCAACTACTGTTAAGCATCCAAAGTAAAGCATGAACATGCAGTTTTTAAAATTAGACTTTGTAGTGTGTCATCTTTTCATATATGAAGAAGATGAGACCTAGTGAGATGCAAGAACAAGTCAATGATCATACAGCTAATCAAAAGTACATCTAGTATTCTTTTCTGGAACCATAGATAGCTCTTTGTTCTTTGAGATAAGCCCTTAAAGGAAAAATGACAAGGAGTACCAAAAAGAAAGATAATGCTGGAAGATGATAAATTGTCAGTGTGTGTCAGAAAACAGGAAGAAGCAGAGGAGAAACAAACATCATAGCTTTGCTAAAACAGACTGACCTGTTTGAAATTACCAAACATGAATATGTGCTTTCTGTTGAACATCCAACAATTTTGCTTATTTTGGTCACTTGGAACTGAGAAGTTATAACATTTAGTTGGAACAAAGAGTAGGAATGAACGTTATAAATATCTAAAATAGTGCACATTTAGGAAATGATATTTAAAAAGTAAACTACTTCTCTCTGTAGACCACATCTCAAATTTATAAGATAGTCAGGCTTTCCTCAAATTTTCAGATTGACTGAAAACTGGGACAATTTGAATTAATTTATGGATAACTTCTTCCATGTAAATGAATATTAGGCTGTTGAGTTATATTTTACACTGAAGAAACTTTAAGTAACAAAAATAGTATTTCACGTGATCTAAAGATGAAAGTTCTCTTATTTCACGTTAACGTTTAAGCAATGTTTTGCAAAAATTTAATTAGAGATCATACTATGTTGTGTAATCAAATCCTTAAATGATTTTTTTGACCCTTTTGAAAACTTTGGCTTATTTCTTTCTTTGTCCCAGTCAGCTACAGATGCTCACCTTTTAGATCTAATTCATTTCCACGGAGCCATTTCTACTCTAATTGTTCCCTCTCCAAGCATTTGAGGCACATGACATATATTCTGACCGAGTAAAACTATTTATATTCTTGTTAAGTGGGAGAAAACAGTGTCTGGGTCACCTTCACTAAAAATACTACATTGACAACACAAATGGAACTGTACAATTATCAACCATTCCTTAATACAAAAAAGCATCCTATGATCATCTCCTGAATCAACAAAAAAGCCCTTTATATTTACCATTTGGGGAGGGAGGTTTTAATAATCCTAAAAGAGTTACACAATGTTAAAAGAGAATCCATTGTAGTGAAATTTTTGGTACTGAACTTATATAAAGATTTAAAGAAATTTGAATACATTGTCAATTTTCAGCTGTGTGTGTACATATTTCTGGCAATTATGTCCAAATAGAAGTTTAAAAATCTAATCAAAGTTTTATATGTTTCTTTGATAACCATATATAAAATAATACTTTCTAAGACAGAGAGGTGTTTCTTAGAGTCAGCTTGACAGGGTGCAGCTAATATGTTTATAAAAGGAAGGGTGTTGGTCAACCAGAGGTGGTAGTCTGTTGTTTTACAAATGACTTTGAAGTTCAGTAGGGCTCTGGATCAGATGGCCCCCTGGGAAGATTTTCTTTGTGGCAGCATTAGATACACTAATTTGATATCATTTATTTTTGCAGGAAATTCCAATGAACTTTGTGGATCCCAAAGAAATTGACATTCCACGTCATGGAACTAAAAATCGCTATAAGACCATTTTGCCAAGTAAGTTTCTTGAATTAAGTAGTTTGCATTATAAAGCACAAGCCTTCCCCATTAACCTCCACCTCATCGATTCCCATCCTCACAACTTCTCTGTATACACTGAAGTTGGAGTTATAAATACACATCAAGACTAATAACCATTAAAGTAGTTTGAGGTTAATAACTTTATCCTGTATTACTTTTATTACAGTGGTCAGCTCACAATTCCAATAGACACATGGTTCTAAACTTTTATTGTGTTGCACATTATGGTCAGTTGGTTTTCATCAAGAGTATCAAAAAATTCAATGGGCAAATAGTCTTTTCAACAAACGGTGTTGAGACAACCAACATTCACATGCAAAAAAAAGTGAAATTGGACCCTGCCTCACACTATATGCAAAAATTAATTCAAAATGGATCAGACCTGAAGGTAAGAGCTAAGATTATAAAGCTCTTAGTATAAAGCAGATGTAAATCTTCATGACCTTGAATTAGTCAGTGATTTCTTAGATGTGATGCCAAAAGTACAAGAAACAAAAGAAAAAATAAATTGAACTTTATGAAATTAAAAATTTTGTGCTTCAGAGGTCAAAGGATACCATCAAGAAGATAGAAAGATGACTCACAGAATGGGAAAAAAAATTGCAAATTATATATCTAATAAGGGACTTCTGTCTAGAATGTATAAAGAACTCTTAGCACTCAATTATAAAAAGACAATTCAATTTGAAAATGGGCATAGGACTTGAATAGACATTTCTCCATAGAATATACACAAATGATTGGCAGGCATTTGAAAAGAGGCTCAACATCATTAGCCATAAGGTAAATCAAAACCACAATGAGATAACACTTCACATCCACATGATTAAAATAAAAATGATAGACTATAGAAAGTGTTAGCAAGGATGTAAAAAAACTGGAACCTTCACACGTTGCTGATAAGGATGGAAAATGGTACAGTTACTTAAGAAACAGTTTGGTAGTTCCTCAAAAGGCAAAGCCTAGAGTCACTATATGACTCAGACATTCTACTCCTAGTAATATAACCAAGAAAAATGAAAACATTTCATTGTCAATCACTAGACAAATAGCTAGTTGGGATTTCGGCAAAATCCAAAAACATCTCAAAGTAATAGTTCTGGAAAGATGGAGCCACAAAGACTTTTAAAAAGTATTGATATTGAAAAGCTATACACAAATGTTTGTAACAGCATTATTTATAAGAGCCCCAGGGGTGCCAGGGTGGCTCAGTCAGTTAAGCATCCGTCTCTCGATTTTGGCTCGGGTTGTGATCACGGTTTGTGAGATGGAGCCTCGCATCAGACTCTGTGCTGACAGCATGGGGCTGCTTGGGATTCTCTCTCTCCCTCTCTCTGTGCCCCTCCCCTGTGCGTTCTCTCTCTCTCTTTCTCTCTCTCTCTCAAAATAAACAAGTAAGCATTTAATAAAATATATATATAATAGCCCCAAATGTGGAAACAACCAAAATATCCATCAACTGATGAATATATAGAGTGTAGAATGTCCACACAATGGAATATTACCCAGCAATAAAAACAAACGAGGTGCTGATGCATGCTACAACATGCATGAACCTTGGAAACATTATGCTAAGTGAAAGAAGCCATCACAAAATCCCTCAGATTATGTAATTCCACTTATATGACGTGTCCAGATTGGCAAATCTATAAAGACAGAAACTGTGTTAGTGGTTGCCTGGTGCTGGGAGGCATGGGAAATAACTGCTAAATAACTAAAGGGAATGGGGTTTATTTGGAGATGAGGAAAATGTTACAAAATCAATTGTGGTGACAGTTGTACACTCTGTGAATTAAAAAAAAAAAAAACTCTGTGATGGCACACTTTAAGTGAGTTAATCGTATGGTATATGAATTCCATCTGAATAAAGCTGTTACCGAAAAATTTCATTGTGCATAACAATCACCTAGAATCCTTATAAAAATTTAGAGTCCTGTGCCCCACCCGGGGCATTCTGTTTAAGTAGGTCTGCTGTTGGGCCCAAGAATCTGTGCTTCTAAGCAAACATCCAGGTGATTCTGGTACAGATGATACCAGGACCACACTTTGAGAAACACTGTTTAGACTATGTTTGTTTTTTTTAATGTTTATTTATTTTTGACAAAGACAGACAGGTGTGAGTGGGGGAGAGGAAGAGAGAGAAAGAGACACAGAATCTGAAGCAGGCTTCAGGCTCTGAGCTGTCACCACAGAGCCCGATGTGGGGCTTGAACCCACGGACCATGAGATCATGACTTGAGCTGAAGTCAGATGCCCAACCAACTGAGCTATCCAGGCGCCCCTAGACTATGTTAAAACTGAATTTAACTCCATGAAATTTATATCAAACGATGAGCCAGCTGCCAGGAACCAGTAAGAAATAAGGAATAGCTTATAAGATCAAGGAGGTGATGGACTAGAGAGGAGAGATATGTAAATGAGTAATTATGTTCAATATAATAAAAGCCAGAATTGAGATCTGGCCCAAGTGGTGTAGGAATATAGAGAAGATTGACTAATTCTGCTTACAGTGGCAAAAATGCTTTGGAGAGGATGTTACATTGTCAATCACTAGACAACAGATAGTTGGGATTTGGCAAAATCTATAAACATCTCAAAACAATAGCTCTGGAAAATGGAGCCACAGACTTTTAAAAAGTATGGATATTGGGGCGCCTGGGTGACTCAGTCAATTAAGTGTCTGACTTCGGCTTAGGTCATGATCTCATGGTTCGTGAGTTCGAGCCCCACATCCGGCTCTGTTGTGACAGCTCAGAGCCTGGAGCCTGCTTTGGTTTCTGTGTCTCCCTCTAACTCTGCCCCTCTCCTGCTCATGGTCTGTCTCTCTCACTCTCAAAAGTAAATAAATAAACATTAAAAAAAAAAAGTATGGATATTGAGGGTGCCTGGGTGGCTCAGTTGGTTAAGCATGCAACTTCAGTTCAGGTCATGATCTCACAGTTCATGAGTTTGAGCCCCACATTGGTCTCTCTGCTGTCAGTGCAGAACCTACTTTGGATCCTCTGTCTCCCTCTCTCTGCCCCTCCCCCATTCTCACTCTCCTTCCTTCCCAAAAATAAACAAACATTAAAAAATAATCTTAAAAAGTATGAATATTGAATAGTAGAGTCTTCATAATCAAGCCCATTAATTCACTCATAAAACATCAAATTCTCCATATTTATGGTAAAAGAATTACTGTTAATGGTATCTTTGGGCTTCCCCCTCTGGTGGAGTTGAAAACACTCCACTATAACATATTTTTACCTGGTCCATGTAGTATAGTCCTGTTGAAAGATATTTTATAACTACAGCTGGCTAAAGGGGATGAAAGTGCTGTGAGTTAAAAATAGTGCTTCTAGGGGCGCCTGGGTGGCGCAGTCGGTTAAGCGCGTCCGACTTCAGCCAGGTCACGATCTCGCGGTCCGTGAGTTCGAGCCCCGCGTCGGGCTCTGGGCTGATGGCTCAGAGCCTGGAGCCTGTTTCCGATTCTGTGTCTCCCTCTCTCTCTGCCCCTCCCCTGTTCATGCTCTGTCTCTCTCTGTCCCAAAAATAAAAATAAAACGTTGAAAAAAAAAATTAAAAAAAAAAATAGTGCTTCTCTCTTTCTCTGTCTCTGTCTTTCTCTCTCAAGACTTTTCATCTGAAATTTACCAAACATAAATAATTAGGGCATATACATCCATCGCAGTTTTACTTAACCATCTAATGTCAGATGGATTTGGAAATTATTAGGATTATTTAAAGTTCAGCCTTCTCTATTTCCTGCCCAGATGATATCAGACATAGCCCTTCATAGTCCTGTGTCAGCTTTTCCATTCCCAGAACTGGGTGGATCACTTGAACCAGGGCACCTGTGCTGACAACTGATGTTGCAAATAATGAATTTTCTGTTGAAAATGTCTGAAAGCCTCACCCACTCCCTGTTGCACAAAATATAATTTAGTAAATACAGTTTGGGCATGCCATACCATTAGTTGAAAATAATCAGAAAAGACTGGAATTTATATGGAAAGCTGTTTTTTTATGGTTTATTTTGGACTGTAGTATGGGTTAAATTTGTAACACTACATAAAATACTTAAAAATGATTAATATTTTAAGTATTATAATTTTGTATTGTTTTAACTTATAACAAACCCAAGTTTAAAAGCGTCCAGCTTGCACATATTAGTGAGGCTGTATAATTTGGAGTATGGTTTACAGCAGAAATATGGATGGCTCAGAACCAATTAAAAAATAGTTGTTTCTCTGATGATGATGTCAGCCTGGCTCAGAACACTCTATATGGTAGATTAAAGTGAGAAGGTCAAGTTTATATCACATTATTTTGCAACACAAGCAAATATTAATGATGAAAATATATCTATGTCCTAAATCACAAAAGCAATGGGAAAAAAAATCATATATCAATATGAAGTTATTTGCACAACAATGAAGTATAATAACAAATTTCATGTATATTTATTCCACGCAAACAATTTATTTATACAAATATAAAATACATATATAAAATTAAAGAACTCTATTAATTAAACCTAATTACTCTGGCCATCATTTCATATTTAAAAATTTAAAGTCTGGTAATATTTCCTACTTATGTTTCCTGTTCTATTAAGTGCCCAGAACAGAGTACACATGCAAATAAGTGAGCCACTCATTAGACAACAAATTGTATGGCTGAAACAAAATACTGCAGTTAGACTTGACTCCCTATCATGGCAAGAGCACTCATAGTTTACACAGATGACTTAATCTTTCTGTTCCACCTAACCTTTCCTCATCCCTTAAAGATAGTGATAATAGTATCACTCCATAGGGCTGTGTAGAGAATTAAGTAATAATATGTGAAAAAGGAAGTTCCAACCAATAGAAAGCCCTCAGGTAATGTTAGTTTCTCCTTTCTCCCTACCTAACTGAAGATGAATTCATCACTAACCCCAGAACCAATTCCAGAAAATAGGAACACTAAGTAGACAAAGGCAAGTTTATAGTTTCAAAAGCAGACTCTTTAAGGGTCCTGTTTTCTCTCATAATTTTCACATGGATCTTAAAAAGTGAGTTTCCAAGTAATCACCATCTTGCACTGTGGAGATCATCATTGTCCACCAAAACTCTGTACAGTGATGGAAATGTTCTATATCTCCAGTGTGATGGCCATTAGCTACATGTGGCAATCGAGCACTTGAAGTATAGCCAGTGCACCTGAGGAACTGATTTTTTTTTTTATTTTATTGTATTTTAATAACTTAAATTTAGCTCCATGTGGCTAGTGGCACCATTTTGGACACTGCAGGCCTGAAGTCTTCTCTTTCTCCTGCAACAAAGTGGAGGTGACTCTCACTCACCTTGAAGGCGTGGCCAAGTCCCTGCCTTTCCTCCCATTTCCCAGTTGTCTTGAATTTATCTAGAAAAACTATATTATCCCACTCATTTCTGTCTTTTCCCAGGGATACACTAGCAGTGTGCACCCTTCCCTCATCTGATAGGTTCTCCTCTTGACTCCAAACCTCAAACGCATTTCTTCCTGGAGAAGAAATCTCCAGCACAGGAAACCTTTCATAAAATCTGATAGGATAGGATGCAGTCAGAACATCAGGATCCAGGTACCATTTCGTCTGTTAAATGGAAGGTTTAAATTGCCAGAGATATTTTGGGGTGCCTGGGTGGCGCAGTCGGTTAAGCGGCCGACTTCAGCCAGGTCACGATTCGCGGTCCATGAGTTCGAGCCCCGCGTCGGGCTCTGGGCTGATGGCTCAGAGCCTGGAGCCTGTTTCCGATTCTGTGTCTCCCTCTCTCTCTGCCCCTCCCCCGTTCATGCTCTGTCTCTCTCTGTCCCAAAAATAAATAAACGTTGAAAAAAAAAAATTAAATTGCCAGAGATATTTTAAAGAGGACAAAATGGGGAAATGTCATGTGTTCTCTACACGAAATCTATGTGGTCAATATTTTGTTGAGAGGAAAAAAGAAACAGGAAGGAGGACAGGAGAAAGAGAAGGAATAAGACAGGAAGAGAGGGAGGGAGGGGAAAAAGGGAAAGAAAGCAAGAGGAGAGAAGGAAGAAAATAAAAGCAGAAAAACAAAAGAGAGGGAAGACAAGTTGCTCAATGTTGGAATTGTTATTGCTACCACCCGGAGGTATCATAAGTGGCATGCTAAATATTTAGCGTATAATCTAGAAGCATCTATTCTGAAAAAAGTTATCAGAGTGAATTTGACATACATATATATCATATATATATATATATGTATGACATGTATATATGACAAATATACATATATATTTAAAATACACATGTACACTTAAAATGCATAAAGTGAATAAAATTATAACAGTGATGATGACAATGATAAAGTTTTGGATATTTTTTAACCCTCAGCTTTTTTTATTAGTCCAGTCTAACATTAAAAAGGCTTTGGTTAGGGGCACCTGGGTGGCTCAGTTGGTTAAGCATCTGACTTCGGTTCAGGTCATGATCTCACGGTCCGTGAGTTCGAGCCCCACGTCGGGCTCTGTGCTGACAGCTCAGAGCCTGGAGCCTGTTTCGGATTCTGTGTCTCCCTCTCTTTCTGCCCCTCCCCTGTTCATGCTCTGTCTCTCTCTGTCTCAAAACTAAATAAACGTTAAAAAAAAAAAAAAAGGCTTTGGTTAGAGGGGTGCCTGGGTGGCTCAGTTGGTTAAGCGTTCAACTTTGGCTCAGGTCATGATCTCACAGTTTGGTTCATGAGTTCAAGCCCCGTGTCAGGCTCTGTGCTGACAGCTCAGAGCCTGGAGCCTGTTTCGATTCTGTGTCTATCTCTCTCTCTGTTCCTCCCCAGCTTGTGCTGTGTCTTTCTCTCTCTCTCTCTCTCTCTCTCTCTCAAAAATAACTAAACATTAAAAAAAAAGGGGGGGGGCAGTCTTTGGTTAGAAAACTAATTTTCCCCTCAGTCACATGCTTCATTCTTGTTTAAAAAAAAAAAAAGGTATTTGGAAACCTCTAAATACTTGGAAATCTTATAAATTATCAATTTCCAAAATAAACTTAATTTAGCTCGACAAGGAACCTGCATCTAAGCGGTTTATAGGGCTGAGTTCCCAATAAATCATATACTTGGTAGGCTTTATAAAAACTGAAGGAAGTGGGCCTCTTTTCAAGTCTCAGTGGTTTAGAGCTCTTGTGGAAACTTCTAAGAATCAGTGAATACTGAAAAGGAATGAAAGTTTTCCTGTCCCCTTCACTAAGGAAGAAAAAAAGTATCTAGAAAGTCAACAGCAGTGTCTCAACTTTAATAGAAATGAATTGTGATATTAAACACTCTATGAGCCACATACCAGATAGAAATCACAATGGATACTAAAGTTCTTTTTTTTTTTAAAGTGAATTAAATACAGGTCTTGCCCTCAAGGGGCTCACTACAATTCATTGAGGACAGGCAAAAAAATTAAGCACTTAAAATACAAGATGGTAGGGGCCCATGGGTGGCTTCGTCGGTTAAGTGTCCGACTTCAGCTCAGGTCATGGTCTCACAGTCTGTGCGCCATCCGGCTCTGTGCTGACAGCTCAGAGCCTGGAGCCTGCTTCGGATTCTGTGTCTCCCTCTCTCTTTACCACCTCCCCCACTCACGTTCTCGTTCTCTCTCTCTCTCTCTTTCTCTCACACACACACACAATTAAATAAACATTAAAAAAAAATACAAGATGATAAATATTAAAATAAAACATGAAGAAAAAACCGCCATGGGCCTATTTGGTGTAGATCAACAAAAGGATCATTGATGGGCATCAGCAAGAATGGTGTCTGCATAAAACTAATGTTAGGATAGATTGGAGTGTACCCAAGGAAGACTGAATTGTGGAGGAGGAGGTAAGAACAGTGGGTATGATAAAGTCTCAGAATTTTATCTTTCTGGAGAAGAACAGCAATAGAACAATTACTAAAGAGGAATGTATAGAACTGGCTTCTTAAAAAATGGAAGGGACCATTAAATCAACGCAGTAGACATCGAGTGCCTGCTACACATATAAACACCGTGCTAGACACTAGGTCGTATAGATGAGAAAAAAATCTCCATCCTTGCCTTAGGATGCTCAGAGTGTACCAGATTAAAGAAATCATAAATGAATGACTTGATCTTAATTCATGTATGTAAATGTTGGTAAAAATAACTACCATAGTTTTCCTAACACTGGTTTACAAAGAGTGTTTCAGCTTCTTGATGGAAAGTGATTTGAGAAGTTAAGACAATACTGCTAACACGATAGCAATCTATGCAATATCATTTTCATGCTATAGGTGACCAAAGTGCCACACGTGGTAACTAAAGACAGCTTCTTTAGCAAGAGGGGGTTCAGGCCAGACCAAGTGTTTGCTTTGGGCAGAAGAGAAGAGAGAAGTGAGCAAGGAAAAATGGTACAAATTCCAAATCCAAAGAACAAGAAAAGAAGCATAAATAAGACATAGGGATCAAGAATCAGGAACCCACCAAAAAATGGCATGATGAATAAAATCATCTCAAGCTTATGGGTAACATTTGTGTTGAGGAACAGGGGAGGGGTCAAGATGGGCCCAATTGTCCCTCAATAAACACAGATGGATCAAGAGACAGACATGCAGACACATCAACAACAAACATTGACACAAACCAGATGACCAGTGTATAAATTAACAAGTGTGCTATGCACAGTTATTGGTGTTCTAAGGACCTTTCAAAAGAGTAAATTTGTCTAATACATTCCTTCTTGTTTTCCTCATTAGACCCCCTCAGCAGAGTGTGTTTAAGACCAAAAAATGTAACTGATTCTTTGAGCACCTACATTAATGCTAATTATATTCGGGTAAGTAAATAAATAAAATTTTCTTTCTGATGAGCATGTCAACTCACTATTTGGAATTGTTGGGGGATTTTTTTTTTCCTCAGAGTGTATTAATTTTGATTTAACTTGATTACTAGCAAGGTTATTTGCTTGTTTAGTCATAATGAACATTGGTAGTGGGTCTTTTACATTGAGTCTTCCTTTCCTGTGTGTCTGTGGCTGCAGTGCTGTCTAGGGCCTGCTCTGATGAGAACTGAGCATTATGACCCTCAATAGCATGTGCTGTGCTTGACTAGCTGGGAGAACAGTCACGTGACTCGTGCTAGAATCAGTGAAACCGCGGAAGTTGTGTTGCTTTTGGACTAGTAGAGCCATCTTGTTCTGAACTTGTTCTAAGCTTTCAGTGCAAGGCATGAATTTCAAAGCCAATATTTCTGTCTCTTTACTCAAACTAGGGCTACAGTGGCAAAGAGAAAGCTTTCATCGCCACACAGGGCCCCATGATCAACACCGTGAATGATTTCTGGCAGATGGTTTGGCAGGAAGACAGTCCCGTGATTGTTATGATCACAAAACTCAAAGAAAAAAATGAGGTATGACCTTAACCCAAGTAGTGAACGTTGTATATTTTCAGTTGCTGTAGAAGAGATATTGTCTAAGGAAAATTGCCATGTATTTAATGACAGATTTAAGATGGAAACTTTAAGGCATTTAAAGACAATTTCACTTCATGCTTCCAAGAAATGGTAATTAGTGTCATTGTATGAATGGCAGGTTTCTTTCAGATAAATCAATACACTTGGCGTACATGTATCTCACATATTCCACATAGCTCTGCAAGGAAATGAGGAGTTATGAATTATCACTGTGGTTTATAGGCAGGGAAATGAAAAAACTACTCATGTCCCAAGTAATTTTTAAGCACTTACTGTGTGACAGATACTATTTTAGTTGTTGGCAATATAAGTATATTAGTAAACAAAGCATACAAAGATACCTGCCATTGGTCGATTTTTAACTTGCTATTGGGGAATCCAGATTAAAAAACAATAAACATAATAAATTCATAAAACTATAGCAATTAGAAAGGATAAATGGTATAGGAGGAAAAGGTAGAATAAGATAGGGAGATAGGGTGGGGCTGAGCTGTAAGAAGGGTCAAAGGGGAAGGTGAGCTTTGAAAAAAAGATTTGAAAGAAGTAACAAAGCCAAGCAACTTTTTTTTTTTTTAATTTACATCCAAGTTAGTTAGCATATAGTGCAATAATGATTTCAGGAGTAGAATCCAGTAATTCATCCCCTACATATAACACCCAGTGCTTATCCCAACAAGTGTCTTCCTGAATACCCCTTGCCCATTTAGCCCTTCCCCCCACCCACAACCCCTCCAGCAACCCTCAGTTTGTTCTCTGTATTTAAGAGTCTCTTATGTTGGGGCCCCCTCCCTGTTTTTATATTATTTTTGCTTCCCGTCCTTTATGTAAATCTGTTTTGTACCTTAAATTCCACATATGAATAAAGTCATATGATATTTGTCTTTCTCTGACTAACTTCAAAAAGTCAAGCAACTTTTTCAATATCTTTGTAAGAAATCCAAGAAAAGGGTCAAAGTTAAATTCCATTTGCATACTAGCAGTCTTTCCTCAGGGTCTAGCTTGTAGAACACTCATTCTGTACTTTACATCATAAAAAGAGAATTGTTTAATTCCCAAAGGGTGCTATCCTAGGTACTGCTTACATTTTAGGGCATCTTATTGGATCATTTATCATCTGGTTTTAGTCAGCGCTTGTGTTTGTTTTCTTGTTAAAATTACTGTGTCAGGGCTTCAACATGACAATAAGAATTTAAGAAAGCTGAGCTTTCCTTTTTACCTTTCTGGTGAGTTCTATCCCATGAGTATACTATATTCTGGCTGCTAATCAAGAAAATCCAGGCTTGCACGCAGGAGTTTAGGAGTTTTGTAAAGTTTGTTGCCTTCTTTCATTTTTGCTACAATAGATAAAGTATTTTTTTTTTTCTGAAAGTTATCCTGGAAAAAAAGTCTATTTGGGGTCTATAGATGAAGTTATGTACTTAATTAACTATATAGCTTACTAAAGAAATGTATTTTTATGAATTTTATATGAAAGCCAGAGGTGGCATAATAAAAACAGCCCCTAATATTCTCGGCTGTGTCACCCATATCAATCTATCAACACACTGGGCCGCTGATAATTCCTGCACAGTTGTTTAACATCCATGGCATTTTGCCTTTATTTTACCTAGTAGGAAAATATTTTTCAAGCTTAAAATGTACATTCTCTATATATGCATCTGTATATACATTCCTGCATACATATAAGCCAGATAATGTGAAAAACTTCCCATTACAAAACTAGTCATACTGGTTAAAATTTTAAATAGCATAAAATGTAAAATATAAATTAGCAACATTTCCTCAATCTGAGTAGATTGCATTACTCAGTATTAAAATTAAAAATTCCGTTCTGTTCAGACCCTCCATGATGTAAACATAATACTATAGAGGAAAGTTTGGTAAAATAAAAATAGCATGCATAACAGAGCTTGGGGGAAAGAAAAGTCCCAGCCGGCAAAAAGTGAATAAAAGGCATAAAGCCAGAGAATTATGGGTTACTTGTGCTTTAATGACAATACAAGACCTGGAGACAAAGCCTTGGGCTTGCAGGAGCCAAGAGTTGGAATGGAGACCTTCCATAAAGCGAGCTCCTACAAGAGCTGTGCCTTCAGTGAAAAGGTGAACCACGAAAATAAACCTGCCCACCAAAATAGGACTATACCAGGAAATTAATCTATCTAAATCTGGTCTTCTCATGGGAGAGATAAAAAGGTTCTCTGTAGTATTCAGCACTTGAAAACCAGGAAATGCCAAGTATAACAATTAATATGAAAATTAATACTGGATTGATGACTCTCGGTGGCACTCTACAAAGGCAAAAACTTTATGGATGCATACACTCTCGGGATTTATATGACAGAATTTCAACAGAAAAAGCCCAGCCAAACAGAAGCTCACAAGTCAAAATAATGAGACAACACAAGTAAACAAGCAACATAAGGAAAAATCAGAAGAAACAACAAATAGGTAACATAGACCCACAAGAAATTATAATAAAAGAAACTATAAATATAGGCTATTTTTTTTTATAATTAAGCACACAAAACATAAAATTAAGAACTTGACAAGGGAACAAGTTACCATCACAAATGGGTAGGAAGATTTTAAAATAAACCGAAGAGTCCTAGAAATAAATATTATATAGATATTAAAATTAAAGAAAGCATCATTAGGTTTAATAGGCTAGACATAGCTGAATAAATAATGATTGGATTAAAAAATAGAGCTAAGGAGATTACCTAGAAGATCAAAATGACCAAAAATACAAAAGAGAGATTAAGATATAGGGGCACCTGGGTGGCTCAGTAGGTTAAGGGTTTGACCCTCGAATTCAGCTCAGGTCATGATCTCACAGTTTATGGGTTCAAGCCCCATGTGGAGCTCTGTGCTGAGCATGGAGCCAGAGCATGGAGCCTCCTCTCTCCTGCTTTCTCTGCCTTTCTTCTACTTGTGCTCTCTCTGTCTCTGTCTCTCTCAAAAATAAATAAATAAAATTAAAAAAAAAGTTTAAGACATAGAGGACAGTATGTAAATGCCCAATGTATAGATAATGGATATTTTAGAAGAAGAAAAAAGAGAATATAAGAAAAGAAATAATATTGGAGAAAATATTCCGAAAGTGATGAAAGACATGAGCTCTCAGATTTGAGAAGCACCATAAATCCTAGGCTGGATAAGTAAAAATAATCCCACAACTAGACACATCTATGTAACTAAAAAACACTAAGGGAGATGATTTAACAACAGAGTAAGTAACAAATGGCTTCTCAGTAGCGGCAGTAGAAGCCAAAAACCAGTAGAACAATACCTAGCAAGGGATAAAAGAAAATAACTGACAACCCAGAACTCATGCTGGAGTTAACAGCATTTCCTAGATCTGAGTAGACTGTTAATCATTAAATTAAAATTAAAAATTCCTTTCTGTCCAGACCCTCCATGATATAAATATAATACTATAAAGGAAACTTTGATGCTTCACAGATCAAAATGATACTGAGAATTCTGGCTTAAAAAGAAATATTCAGTCAACTTCACACTACCAGGAAAATGCTGTTTACCAAAAACGTGCCAACATCCAATTGTGTTCAGCATCATTGTTTGGAAGAGACAAAAATCATTTCCTCCAGAAAAAAATGAAGGTGGAGTTATCTTTAGAAATTCTCAGGCTTCATATTTTCATGAACCATTCTACTTTCTAATAAATAAATGAGTAATTGCCAAGCTCTTATTTAATAATCCCACTATTCTCATATCACCAAGAGGCTGTTTCTCTTCATACCATTCGTGTGTTCACTGATGTACCTATTTTAATTTCCTCCAAGAACTTTTCCTTTGCATTTGCAACTTAGCAAACCGACACAAGAGGTAGCTTTCAGCCTATCTCGACTTTTGACATACCTTCCTCACTAAACTTAATCATTAATAGATTTTGATTGAAAGTGAGAGACATATGACTCTTCCTTTCACTTGAACACCTAGAGGCCACTGTAGGGTTATTACTTGGCCTAATTGCGATATTGTTGTGTCTCAGCCAATAGGGAGGCCCCGGGAGAGGGAGGAGCCAGGGAATGGTCAGTCAGTGGGACTGTCAGAGCACACCTATGGATCAATTAAGTTCACGGTCTTAGGTAGGTGCAGTCGGTGCAACCCCAAAACAATTGCAATAGTAACACCGAAGATCACTGATCACAGATCACCATGACAAATGTAATAATAATGAAAAAGTTTGAATATGTGGGAATTACCAAAACGTGACACAGAGACATGAAGTAAGCCAAAGCTGTTGGGAAAAATTGTGCCTATAGACTTTCGCCAAGCAGGCTTGCCACAGATCTTCAATTTGTGAAAAATGCAGTATCTACAAAGCACAGAAGGTGAAGCTCAGTAAAAAGAGGTATGCCTGTACCAAGAATAAAAAGAAACAAGCAAACTGAGTCTCAGAACCAGGGTGTCTGTCCAAAGAAGGTCAAGGAAGGTAATGTTGAAGGCCAAACTGGCATGTAAACGGTGGAGCTCCTGCTGACCAGTTTTCAGCTTTCCTGGAGGAGCAGAATTAGCTATTATAATATCTAGAGAGGCAGCCTGGCCTAGCACTGCCCATCAACGCTGGGAAGCCTAATTACCATTTCCTACGTGATCAGCAGTCTGACACTCATACTGCCCAAGCAGTTAAGGGTGGCCCACAATTCAAAAGCTGATAGCTCCCAAGCAAAATCACTCACCTGTCCTTTCAAACACTCTTATATTCCAAACATAACTGTACCTTATTTTTATTTTGCTGGGTTTTATTCAATTGTCTTAGCTTGCTTTGCTTCTAACTATAATTAGAATCCCTCCTATTTGACACTATTAGTCAAAGAAGTTACAGTGGAAAAATCATAAAAACAGCAACCAAAAAACTCCAATGCTTTGTTTTATCTTAAGACATGTACATTTGTTCACACTAAGTATTTTTCATTTTTTTATAGGACTTGTTTTGTTAGTGTTGGTCTGAAGCTGGAGTTCTAGATCATATGGCTTATGGAAATCGTGCCCTTTATACATCATCAAACTTGCCCATTTCAGTTTGTTTTTTTTTTTTAATGAAAGAGAACACAGAAAAGTTTGTAAAGGATTTATGAATGCAGAATCCTGCACAGATTCAAACTTTGCACTAATTTTTACAATTGTCACCTGTACCTGATTTGACTGCAGTTTTCTTTACTGAGTCCTTTTTTTTCCCAATGAAAAACTTGTTTAACTTATACAATTATTTCCTATTTTCTTTGCACCTTCATGTTTCATTAATCTATGTAAAATTAAATGATGGGGCTTCGATAATGACTCTACGTACCATAAGGAGGTTTGGATGTAAGTACACCTTGGTGAACATGTAAAGCTCAACAGATAGTAAGAGAGGCACTGGGCTTAGTAAGAGACTGGCCCAAGAACCATGTGTCGCATGAGCACCAGCCTATTTCACAGAGAGAAGGAAAGCCACTGGTTAATGCCGTGGTAAAGTAGGGTTGGTTGGATGACAGCAGATGTCAGAGATAGAAAGTAAAATTTTTAAAATGATGTTTGCTCTGAGAGTTTTAGCTCCCAAGGGAATTTTCTCAGAGCCCCCTACCAAAATACCTGAGCTTCAGTTTCCCCTGCTGTAAAATGATAAATGATATTAATAGCAATAAACCTGTTCTACCAAATTCAGATGATTGTGGCAGGGATTAAGTGATATGCTGGTGAAGGTAGTTTTAACATTAAGTTGCTGCACCTGTGTTGGTAATATTTAGTTGGAAAGCCAGGAATGAAAGTAACTACGGTAACTGTAGGCAATCTGACATATCCTATACCTCTCATATGCTAATGCAATCCAAATGAGCCTGACCATCTTCTTTTTACTTATTTAGAGCCACTGTCTTTGTGATGATACATGTTTTTAGCTCAGAGAACAAAATCTTTTTGATTTTAATGCATAGAATTTAAAAAGAAAGTAACTTAAAAATACATTTTTTTCTCCCCAGGCAACTAAATTACTAGCTAAATCCTTCCTCTTCATACTCAAATAGCACTAATGTGGTGGGATTGAGAGGGAGGGTCAAAGAAAAAAAAAAAAAGATCATAAAAATATAGGAATTTGCATTGCTTTGCCTTGCATTCTACTTTTGTGTGTTTGCAAGAAAATCATAAACCACTGATTATGAAGAGTTGGTTGATGTCCAGAATCTTTATAGTCAGGGTTCACTAATCACTTGTTTGTACAAGAGACACATGAGCCTCTGAAGACCTCTTTTTCCTCCAAATTATGGATTCTTGGAATCCATAGATAATTTCACTGAAAGGCTCAGTCCAGTTAGCAAAGAATAGTGATAATTTGGGGTTATATTCTGTGAGATAGCGTGCTCTTCTGAATTACCTACAATTAGTGTGGTTTCACTGTATTACCTGTAACGGAGCATTTTCCTTCCTTGCATTTTCTGCCTCTTTCACATCATTGTTAGCCCCACAATAAAGAAACCCTAAAAAGCTGTTCACAAAAATAACCTGAACCTGAACTTTTGCTCTTTAAACAACTACATTTGCAGCTCTCCCCCACCTCATATTCAAAAAGCACCCACACTTATCTGGTCTCTTTTTCTCTGTTCTCCTAAAAGGTGGGGGGGGGGGGGGGGGGGGGAATGTATTCAGTGTGTAAAAATAAGCTATTGTATCTCAGAAAGGAGATGGGATGCTAATTAAGGGTTGTTTGAATGAACAAGTCACATTGCATTGTCTACTGGGAGCTGACTGCCAATTGCATTTTTGGTAAAGAGTCAAGAAAAACATTCAAGAGGGCCCCGGCAAGCTTGAGACAGAAGCAAGCAGCGCTTCCATTTATCAAGTAGGTGCACAAGGCTTTTCAAGTATTGTTAAGAGTCAGGGTGCAGGCTTTGAGCTCCTGTTTTGCAGCTTTTTCCTACGGGTTTCAAGAGCCACCTTCCCAAGGAGGGGGCCTGCTGCTCAGGTCTCATCGTGGACAATGGGGCACGTATACCAGACCGCTGGACCGCTGAATGTCTCTTGCTTTGTTCAATACCTTTTTCAAGATTCTTTGTCACTCTTCTTGAATGCGTCCAGGAGGCATGGGTTTTAAGATACACAATAGCTCGGGTCTTACAGCGAAATAATTGAAGCTTCATTGAAAGAAACCAGGCAAATTGGTTAGTATCATTCTCTTTAACAAACCTGGGAAATTTTAGACATTTGGCACTAGTAAATGAGGAGAGAAATACATTGCTTTATTTTTAAAAGATTTCTTTTCTTAATGTTAACATTGTGTCGGCCAGAGTATGCCTTCAGCCTGATTGCCTTGGGGGCCTGGGTGTGGGGTGGCATGTAAATAGAGGTGAATATGATTTACTTTGTTTGGAAAAGGACCAGAATGTAGAGGATGCAAATGTGTTTTTATTGTCATGGATGAAAGAAACAGTGATTCCACAAGGGCAACTGACTTCCATCCTGGCTCTGGCGTGGAATGGCTACTACGTAGCAAGATAGAATCCCCGAGATGTGTTTCTGATACTTTACATGTCTTTTCCTTTAGTTCTATAAATCTGTAATTCTTTCTTTTGCTGCTCTTTTGAATCTATAAGTTCTTAACTTTTTTCATGTAAGGTCCTATGCCTTTGACATAGATATAAAGAAACAAGTATCCTGAGTACTAAAAGGTCTACCTGACTGAAGGCAACAAGTGAAGAAATTTCTCTATAAATGTGCATGTGTGTTTGCAAGAAAATTATAAGTTCTATTTAAACAGTATTTCTAAAATGAACATTGCTTCTCTGGGCACTTAAAATAAACAGCGGCATTCACACTTTACATTTTTAATCATTGAAATATGTAGTAAAATTCACAGGTTTTTTTTTTTTTTGCAAATGTTTAAAAGACAAAATAATGAATAATATGAGCTTATATGTATGTTTGAATCTCATTTTGTAGTTTTCTTTTAATAATGTAGCTTGGATATCATAATAATGCAATATTTACTGCTTTATCTAATGCATAATTAAGTGATGATTGAATCAGTTAGATCAAAAACCTAAAAATAGAGCAACCATAATAAGAACAAAGTGTTTTAAATGCTTACTGTATGTCTGGCTTTGTCTGAAGTGCTTTTAATGTATTAAATGATGAGGAAACTGAGGCCAGAGACATTACGTATCTTTCTTACAGATTCTCAGCTAATAATAAGAGGTGAAACCAAAATTTGGACCCAGGTTCTCTGGCTCCAAAGCCTGCACCTTAATTACCATATTATATTGCTGTGGTTGCAATATAATTATTATTACTCATTAAAACCTTCAAAGAGGATTCATCATAAAAAAATTTTAATAATTTTTTTCTGCATTTATTTCAATAGATACTATATGTGAAAAGATCCTGGAAGATATAGTACCATATATGTATTAAAAATCATTATGTCCTCTTTACATACTAGAGAGATCTCATTCTGTGGCATCTGAAACTTTACAAATACTCTTATTAGACACTTGAACTTGAAGCAGGAAAATTTGACTTGGCTCAGTCATTATGAAAGAACATTCCTCTTATGTCGAGTTATCACATGATAAAGTCTAATATTTGGATCTTGACTTCTTAATCCTTAATTTCTCAATTTAGTTCTCAATTTTCATGCGGAGTTTTGGGAAATTTTGCCCTTTTTTGTATGGGATTATTAGCAATAGTGTTTGACAGGGACCTGTAAAAACTGATACTTTCCTTCTAAAATTTTATTGAGATATAATTTGTATACCATAAAAGTCACCTGTTTAAATGTGCAGCTTACTGGTTTTTTGTACATTTCCAGCCTTATAAAATTGATACTTGATTTTTTTAAATTAATTAAATAAAAACTCTTGAGGCATTTGAATGAAAAGTACCCTAAGACCAGTGAAATCATTAATATCTGTTGTGTTCTTTTTTCCCCTCCTCCAGAAATGTGTGTTATACTGGCCAGAAAAGAGAGGAATTTATGGGAAAGTTGAGGTTCTGGTTATCAATGTAAATGAATGTGATAACTACACCGTTCGAAACCTTGTCTTAAAGGTAAGAAAAAGCTATAACTATCTAAAAAGTAGATGATATGAGAGGATTACATTTCTACTCTGAAATTGTTTACCCCAATAAGTGCTGCAGATTCAATTTAAAATTTAATAATGTCCGGGCGCCCAGATGGCGCAGTCCTTTGAGCATCCGACTTCAGTTCAGGTCATGATCTCACTGCTCCTGGGTTGGAGCCCTGTATCAGGCTCTGTGCTGACAGCTCAGAGCCTGGTGCCTGCTTCGGATTCTGTGTTTCCCTCTCTCTGTCTCTCCCCTGCTTGCGCTCTCTCTCAAAGAATAAAATAAAATGTTAAAAAATAATTTTTTTAAGATAATCTTTTTTTTTTTTAATTTTTTTTTTCAACATTTATTTATTTTTGGGACAGAGACAGACAGAGCATGAACGAGGGAGGGGCAGAGAGAGAGGGAGACACAGAATCGGAAACAGGCTCCAGGCTCTGAGCCATCAGCCCAGAGCCCGACGCGGGGCTCGAACTCACGGACCGCAAGATAGTGACCTGGCTGAAGTCGGACGCTTAACCGACTGTGCCACCCAGGCGCCCCTTTAAGATAATCTTTAAAAATTTTTTAATAATGTCAAAATCAAAGAGCAATTATGATCATTCCCTCATGTATTTCTTTGTTGTCAGTTACTCTTAGTATGTGGAATAACTAAATTAACATAAGTAGGCATTCAAGAAATTCACTAAATCGGATGTTGTGATCTTCTAATCTCTGTAAATAAAACATCCCTGATTTAACATTTTGAATGCCTTTCAAGGCTTGTACTGGAGACTTTATCACGGTTTGGCTATTTTCTTATTTTTTTTAACCGGTATTCATTTTTGGGAGACAGAGACAGAATGAGAGTGCGGGAGGGACAGAGAGGGAGGGAGACACAGAATCCAAAGCAGACTCCAGGTTTTGAGCTGTCAGCACAGAGCCAGTCGCAGGGCTTGAACCCACGAACTGTGAGATCATGCCCTGAGCCGAAGTCAGACACTTAACCCACTGAGACACCCAGGTGCCTCCCCAGCCCCGCTTTTTTTTTTTTTTTTTTTTTTTTTTTTTTGTCACTTTGGTCTAAGCAGCTTTTAGTAAGGTCTGGAAACTGAAAGAGAAAATCTGTTCTTGTGGGTGGCTGTAGGAAGCAAGGCAAACCTGAAGTGTTGACGAGATCTTCCCAAACTCGGAGTTACGGTAATTTATGGGGACTTTCCCCAGACCAGATTATGTCATAGAAAAGTTATCTTATTTAAATTATGGGCAGCAGATGCTGAGGAACGTTGCCATGGTACTGTTTTCGCTTCTAGAGAACAATCATCTCAAAGATTTCAATCCTAGCTAGAGCCTCCCTGATGGTACAGAATCATCACACAGAAAGTATAGAAGCCGAACTGCAGTGAAAGTTTTTTTGTTTTTGTTTTTGGTTTTGGTTTTTTTGTTTTAGTTTATTTACTTATTTTTAGAGAGGGGAGGAAGTGGAGGGTCAGAGAAGGAGGAAGATAGAGAACCCCAGGGAGGCTCTTTACGGTCACCACAGAGCCTGACAAGGGGCTCGATCTCACAACCGTGAGATCATAAACTGTGCCAAAATTAAGAGTTGGACACTTAACCAGCTGAGCCACCCAGGCGCCCCTACACTGAGGGTTTTTAGAAGGGAATTCGAGATAGGAATTTCATTGAGTGCCTCACCTGTGCCAGCTCCCCAGCCGGGCACTGGGTTTTGAGATGATGTGCATGGACTCTCACTCACTCTCATCTAGTGACCCCTTCTAGCTCCTTATTACCGGGACTCCTAACTGCTGTTAGAAACTACAACTTGGGATGAATGTAGAAATTCAAATGTAGGGGCCAAATGTAAGGGTAAGTGTTCCTATGAGAGTTAATATGTTTATCATCCCTTGTCAAGAATGTTCAAAGAGCAGGAAACATGGTCCATTCAGATTCCCTCCCGGCTTCCTTCGCATCTACCATTATGTTTATTATAACAAATTACAAACACCTATCTAGCATATGTTTCATACGCATTTTCTATTTTAAATATCTATTTCTCAAGACTGTCAAACTTTGACATCAGCCTATTTGTAGTAAAGTTTTCTCAAGGTGGAAGAGTACTCTTCAGAAATCTCCTAGATCTTTTTTTTCCACCCAGACAGAAGTAAGTTGCCAGCAAGCTGGGAGTGATAGAAGGCATTCAGTATTGTGGTTTGGATGACTTTTAGTTCCACAAGTAAATGAGGCATTTGGTGGCTATTGCTATTTTCAGCAAGGAAGTCACACCCAGCATGTGAAGCATTACTGGTACACCTCATGGCCGGATCACAAGACTCCAGACAGTGCCCAGCCCCTTCTACAGCTCATGCTGGATGTAGAAGAAGACAGACTTGCTGCCACGGGCCGAGGGCCCGTGGTCGTCCACTGCAGGTAAGGGGTAACCGTTCTTTCTGCCTAAGCAACTGTCTAGCCTCTGTAAAGTCATCAGACAGATAGAAGTTGGGTTGTGCTTCCTGGTCGTGACTTTATTGGTAAACTAAAGATTTGTTGAAATTGGTTAACTGCTCAATGTTTGAGTTTGGATCAGGATGATACTTTACAGAACTGAAGCAGTATTCCCAGAACATTTAGGCAAACAATTACACAGTAGAGAAAACACCACTTCTAAATTAATGACTCCGGGAACAGGAGACTTTATTCAGGCCTCTACGTCAAAACGTACATCGATTGCTTTTGTATTGTCGGTCTCATGTACACTAGGAATGACACATATTTCAAGATTATTAATGGCTTTTTTGTTATTTCAAGATGGCACTGAACCATACGTGAGTTGGATCTTGATAGCATTTATTATTATGTCAAACTTGGTGAAAACCAGTCAGCTATTTTTGAAGTTTATTTCATAAAGAAAAAAAAAAACAGATGGAAGCAAATTTATGAAGTGGGAAGTGAACAAGTGGTAGTTCACCAAAAGGAGAACAAAGTGTTGTTACCAGAACATGGAGTATTGGGGGGTAGGCCGAGAAAAGCAACAGATGTCTATGGTGGTTCCCTTCCCTAACGTCTAACTTGAAGCTCTCCTCTCATAACTGATACCTCATTCCCCAGACTTTCCTTTTAGTGTGCCCAAACAAAAGCAAATAATTTTAAAGTTATTTCTATAACCAGCCATTTATACTTGGTCAAAATAATTTATGTTGCTTTGTTTAACCTCTTAAGCCTTGCAAGAAAGCTTTTGATGATAATATTAATAAATAAAATTATAATTATTTTATTTTTTTAATGTTTTTATTTATTTTTGAGACAGAGAGAGACAGAGCATGAGCGGGGAAGGGGCAGAGAGAGAGGGAGATACAGAATCTGAAGCAGGCTCCAGGCTCTGAGATGTCAGCACAAAGCCCTATGCGGGGCTCGAACTCACAGACTGTGAGATCATAACCTGAGCTAAAGTCGGACGTTTAACCAACTGAGCCACCCAGGCGCCCCGCTAATTATTTTAAATTATAACTTTAGTCTCCTTCTTCTTTGAGCCTTTATAGTTTAATTAAGAATCAAATTTACTATATATCTATTTATCCAAAGGAGTCATTATCCAGTTTCTAGCATTAGGCCTTACCCTAAACTTCCCTTAGGGGTGAGGAAAGACAGCCTAATTGGTCATATTTTAGGGCTGGAACAGTCCCCCACCCAAAATCATAAAACACTCAGGATATCTAAAATGAACTAGCCATTTCCCCTATAAAACCAGCTCCCCTTCTGATGACTATTTCTAAGAATAAGACCAGCTTTTTTCCAGGCGCTCAATATCTACTGTTGACAGTTATCTTTGGCCCTTCTCTCAACTCCAGCCTCAGTATCTAATCAGTCACCAGATTGGCTTTCCCTTCAAAGCTTCTCCCATAATCATCACTTCCTGTCCAACCACCCAGGTTCAGGCCCTAATGACCTCATACATGTATTTTAGAAGTAGTCAACTAATTGCACAAACACACCCCACTTCCCTATGCCCCACCCCCAGCCCAGCCTACTCACCCACTTCTCTTGCATGATGTTCCTAAAACCCTGGGTTTTATTAATCCTGGATCTGTGGATGAACTACAGGGGTCAGTGAACTCTTTGAAATTACTTTAACAAACTGGAGTACATAAAGTTATGTGAGTTTTTCTGGGGAATGAAAGTCCATAGTTTTTATCAAATTCTCAAAAACAAAACAAAACAAAACAAAACACAAAGCATCACTATTTTAGAGGATGAAGTTCAAACTTCTTAGTTTTCCATGTAAGAGCATTTATAGGCTCTAATGAAGTTTCAGGGTGATGGTGAGGTGGTCCAGAGCTGATGACCAAGAAAGAATTCTTGAGACATCTGTGGTGCAAAAAGTTGGTTTTATTAAAGCATGGGGACAGGACCCCCGTGGGCAGAAGAGCTGCGTGAGGTCATGACCGGTAACTCATTACATACTCTTGGTTTGGGAGGGGGTCAGGAATAGAGTAAGTCTCTAAGATATTTTGGAAGCAAGGTTTCCAGGATCTTGAGGTGCTAGCTGTTGCTAGGGAGACTCCATTTATTACCATTTAGTAAAATCTCAATCATGAGACTCTTCAGATGTATATTGGGGGCCGTAAGCATAGAGTATGATTGCCAGCATATACCTTGGGGGAATTGAGAAAAAAGAAGTTTCTAAAGGAATTTTTATGCGTTGAAGGAGACTTACAGGATCCTGGGAGATGGGAAAATGTTAAGCTAAGATTCCCTTTTGCCTCTAGCAAAATGTCATCATCTGAGGCAGCTGAACTCCTAGAGGGAGGTCACTCTGCTGGTTTCAAGGACTTGTCAATGGGCTATAGACAGCAAAGGAATTTAATTTTTCATTTGCCTTAGTTTCCTACATCACCATGGCAAGCACTTAAACCCCTTTCCTTTTGTTCTTGGGTAGCTAGGAGTGTCCCAGGAATACGCATTCCACCTGGAGTGGGGGAGTATGTTAGCCTGTACTTTACCCTCGGCTTGCCCCACGGTCCTTCATCAGGCTCCAGTGTGTCTGCCCAGTCTTGTTTCCCACTATTCCTCTAAAATAACTTTCCTTTCAGGCCAAGTTAGTCTACTTACTATTGTACATCATATATCCTGTTCTGCAGCAATTCTTTCCATTCTCGTACATGGAATATTCTGATTCACAATAACCAAAATGCCCTCCATTCATAGGGTCCAGTTCAAATTCTATCTCTTTAGTGAAACAAACTCTTTATAGACTCTTTAACTAAAAGGGACCTCCTTCACCTCTGAATTCCTCTGCACTCACATTCAACAGGAAACAAGCACCAAATATGAGAAATAAATGCTATTTGAGTGCCAGGAAGGGAACTATTAATTCAGAACATGAGGACTGAAGAAAGCCTCTAAGAGTTGGGGTAATGTTGAACAAGATCTTAAAAAATAACCAACGTGTGTGGTTTTAAAGGGTGGTAAAGAGGGCATTTTTGACCAAAGGAATATCATTAACACAGAGAGAAAAAATGAAAAATAAAAGCCATTTTTTTTGTAAGGATTCACGTAAATGAAAAAAAAAATGGCACAAAAGGTACAAAGAGAAGAGTAAAAAGACCTAAAGCTTGAAAGTTAGCCACTTTCATATTGTGCAAGTTCACAAATTCCATGGTAGGGAGCTGAGACGTTATCTGTAACCACTGGAAGGCATCTACAGTCTTTGAGTAGAGAGTAATATGCTCAGATTCCCATTTTAGAAAGATGAACCTAGCAGCTGTGTGTATCGTGAATTAGTCCAGGAAGAGACTCAAGACTTGGCAACCATAATGAGATCATTGCTAACCATGAAGTAAGGAGGTGTCGAAAACGTGAGCACAGTTTATAGAAAGGAAAGCATGGATCCGAAAAGCTTCAGTAGAGGTGGAAAATATAAGAATTGGTAACAGATTGGATGTGGGAGGTGAGAGAGGAGAGATGTTGGAGATGGCTCCAAGATTTCTAGGCTGGAAAACTTGTGGCTAACTGGTAATGCCATTGAGGGAAAAGATAATTAATTCTGTTTTAGATACATTGAATTTAGATACATTGAACTAAAGCCAGTGCAAAATAGTAACATCAAGAGTTCCAGCTAAAAAATGGAATGCTAATCTAGAGTTTAGGAGAAACTTAGGGAATTTAGATGTAAATTTGAGAGAAATTTGCATAAAGACTATTAGTGGTAGAAATTGCTGAGGAGGGCGGAGAGGGAGAGAGAGGAGGAATATGGAAAGAGAGTTAAAGGGCTTATTAGGTTGATAATTTACCATCTAAGGCAGATGAATGGGGCAAGCCCTCCTGGACAGATGGTGTTTTTATTCAACTATCACCTGGACATAAATGACTCAGAAATATGTGCCTCTGGCCACAGGCTTCTCCCAAACTGAATTGAATCTTCAGTTTTTCACTAGAATCTTCAACATCAGTCTATCCAAGACCGAACTCCTCACCGCCCCCACATCATCCCTTCTTCTAGAATTCTCCCTTTGTCTCATTGGCGCTTCCTTTCTTTCGATCCCCTAGATTCACGTCTGTGATGTGTTTAAGTCTTTCTCCTCCTTTCTAGTGCCTATACCTTACTTAAATTTAGGTCCTAATTATTCTTTGTAGAATAATTACAATGCCTTTTTCACTATTCTCCTTCCAGCCCACACTCCCTACTGCATATAACTCAATGATCACTACACCAGGCCAGGTTAGTAATCTCAGCCTGAGAGCTGCTGTCGCTGTTTTTACTAACCCTGGCTGCCCATTTCAGATTTAAACACCCTTTTAAAAGAATGTCTTTTATCTTGGGGAGGAGAGTGGGGGGATGGGCCAAATAGGTGATGGGGCTCAAGGAGGGCACTTGTTGTGATGACCACTGGGTGATGTATGGAAGTGTTGAATCATTATATTGTACCCCTGAGACTAATATTATATTGGAATTAAATATAAATAAATAAATAATAGAATATATTTAATCGTTTCTCCTTTGCATCCACCTTTTTACTCTTTGTCTTTTCAGCGCAGGGATAGGTAGAACGGGGTGTTTTATTGCCACATCCATTGGCTGTCGACAGTTGAAAGAAGAAGGAGTTGTCGACGCGCTAAGCATTGTCTGCCAGCTTCGTGTAGACAGGTAAGTGTCCGCTGGACCGTGCAACAGAGAAGTCACTTCACACATAGCGTTATCAGCCACAGCCTCATCCCATCAGTCTGACCTAGTAAACATCACAAGCTCCAAAGTCTTAAATCTCTGTAGAGACCTGTGTAAGACGCTTACGTATATCTTACATTAAAAAGCCATCAAGGAAAGCGTTATTTGCAACACCGACCATCAAGAACACAAAACTAAAAGCTTATGCTTAATCCTTCCTCATCTCTAACACAGGTATTTATGGTGTAGCTGTTCCCTCTCTGTCTTACACCCTTGTTCCCTTCTATTTACTCTGCATTTCCATTTGGCTTACCTGGGTCGTTCACCTTAGAATCTTGATTGTTTGAAAATGAGGCGTGTCATACTACCAAAAATCATCTTTTTTCTCAGTCTACTTTTTTTAATGTGAAAAAATGTAGATAACAAAATGTATCATCTTAACCATTTTTAACAGTACAGTTTAATGGTGATGAGTATATTCACATTATTGTGCCTCCAATTTACAGAACTCTTTCCATCTGGCAAAAACTCTGTACTCATTAAACAGCAGCTTCCTGTTCCCTCCTGCCCCCGGCCCTTGGTATTTTACTTAGTGTAATATCCTCAAGATTTATCGATGTTGTGGCGTGTGATAGAATTTTCTTACTTTTTCAGGCTGAATAACATTCCATTTTATGTATACACTGTATATGGTTTATCCATTCACCCATCAATGGATACTTGGTGGCTCCCACCTTTTGGCTATTGTGAATAATGCTGCTATGAACATGGGTGTACAAGTCGTTGTAGAGATTCTTTTAGATATATACCCAGAAATGAGATTGTTGGATCATACAGTAATTCTATTTTTAATCTTTTGAGAAACTGCCATACTGTTTTCCACAGTGGTTACACCATTTATATTCCCACCAAAAGTACAGTTGTCCCAACTTCAATACACCTTTGCCAATGCTTGTGACTTTCTATTTTATTTTTTGTTTGTTTGGTTGGTTGGTTGGTTGGGTTTTGTTTTTTTTTTGATGGTAGCCATCTTAATGGGTGTGAGGTGGGTGAGTTGTTTTTATATGGAGACAATTTGATCACCTTTGTGATGATCTGTGTTTATCTGTGTTGAAAACAAAACAAACAAGAAAGGTCTCTTCTTCCTTGCTCCACAACTAAGCCTACCCGGGTAGATGAAGAGTTGAGCCACTGATGGAGAAAGTACACAGATGCTCTTTGAGAACAGGCACAGAAAAAGATGCTGTACCAGCAGATGGATAGCCAGCCTCTCTGCTCTGCAAGTCAGTGTACTATTGTGGAAATGAGTTGTTCTGCAAGGCTGAAATACTGCGTTCTCTTCTTTTATTCATGCAGCAAATATTTATTAATTACCTCCTATGCCCAAGGCATCATTCCAGATGCTACACGTAGAGGACTCAACAAGATGAGTGAAGCTTTGCTTTCCTAGAGTTTACATTCTAATACAAAGAGAGACAGACAGACAGACAATTAAAAAAAGGAAAGAAATGAATGGGATAATTTCAGACAGAGATAAATGTTGTGAAGTAAGAAAACAAGAGGGCCATGGGAGAAAGGTCTCTTGGACTTGAGCCCTGTGTCCTCCTAAAAGTGCAGTTACCTCCCAAGATTCATCCAACAAATATTTATTGAGCACCTACTATGTCCCAGGTCCTTGGATTTCAATAAAAGATACAAAATATTGTTCTAAAAATTCAGATATATGTATTATTTAAAGTAGGATCTGTCTCATAGTAAACCTTCAGTAAATGTGAACTGTTATTATTATCTTCATTATTATTAAAATTATCAATACAGCCTATCTCTAAAAATTAAGCATTCAGATCCCTCTGTCCAGATGAGGTTTTTCTTCCCCATCCCTATTATTGTTCTTATCTCTTCTTGAATAATAGCTTCAAGTCCTTGTAGGTGTATCTTCCTTCTCTTTTTCTTTCAATTTTGCCTGGCTTAATAGAGGCTGTTCATTACAGTGGTTAAAATTCTGGACTCTGGAAACTGATTGCCTGGGTTTGCATTATGACTGCTACCATTTTCTGGTTGTGTGGCTTTAGGCAAGTTGTGAGACCTTCCCTTGTCTGGGGTCTCTCATCTGGAAAATGGAAGTTATACTTCTAGCCACATGCTCTTGTTGTTGTAAGGAGTAAGAGTAAGATTGTAGGTTCCTGGGGAGCCTGGGTGGCTCAGTCGGTTAAGCATCCAACTTCAGCTCAGGTCATGATCTCATGTCTCATGGGTTCAAGCCCCACATTGGGCTCTGTGCTGACAGCTCAGAGCCTGGAACCTGCTTTGGAACCTGTGTCTCCCTCTCTCTCTCCCCCTCCCCTGCTCACCCTTTCTCTCTCTCTGTCTCTCTCTCTCAAAAATACATAAACATTAAAAAAAAATTTTAATAAAATTATTTAAAAGAAAAGATTATAAGTTCCTGGCACATAATAAACATGCAATCACGTTTAGCCACTGTTGTTACCAATATATATAGCGAGAAACCTGAAGGTACATCTATAAACTGAAAGTAACAATATATGCCTCACAGGGCTGCGGTAGTATAAAGATGAGATTACATCCATGACGCACTTGGTAGAACATTTAGCCTATGTTTCTAACGCTCTCTCTACCCCTCCCACTTCCTCCCTTTCCATACCCCACATATAACTGCTTCCAAAAATATTTTCTTTCTTTACATAAAATCAGCTCCACTGATGTCTCCTGCTTCTCTTACAATTGCTATCTTAGTCTCCTTCCATCTAGTACTGCCTGTCCAGCTGGAATAGGGTCCAATTTTTCACTCCAGACTCTGGAACCTACCTTCACCCAGAAGTGGGGCCTGCGTCAGAGGGTAGGGAATAGCACCGAGTCAGCCTGGAGCTGTTCCCACGGTGACCTTGATCTCTCCTGCTTTGTGCTTCCGTAAACAAGCCTCCTACTGCTGGGTACCCCAAATCCCTCAAGGACTCCAGTTCAAACCCCTGTACCCTGCTCTCTTGCCAGCTAGTGCCAAAATTCCATAAACGCCAGATCCCCACATGGATCCAGGCTGACTCTGAACAGAGCTGATCTCCAACACTCTCTCTGAACCCTTTTTAGAACAACACCTTGGGTTTAATTTGCTCATTTTGGAGGCTTTTGTTATTCTTAAATCTTGGCTCTTCACCTTCCCATCTCCCACCTCCTCAACCTGCTTTTGTAGCCTGACCTCCACCTTGATTTCCATTTCCCCGTCACATTGCCCTGTCAAATCTACCCAATAGTCCTCTAGCTTTGAATGGAATCACAAGTACATTTTTTAAACCATATCACAATGCCTCCTCTATCGGTCCCTTCCTTCCTAAAGCAAACGGTCAGAAATTTTAGCCTTGGCCTTCCATCACCACCAAGGTCTCCCCACAAGGCTTGTCTTTTTATTGCTGATAGGATCTCCAAAACATATCAGAGCTTCTCTGCTGATCCGAAGGCTCCCTGCCCCCTGCATTTGAATTCCTGCCAGTATGTATCTGGAAATCATTCTAACAGATTCATTAATCAACATCTCTTCTATACACATTCTTTCTGAGCAGCTGCTTCTGTGGTTTATGAAATGGATCCTTTCTTTAAAACCTTCCTCGAAACGCCTTTCCTTTGCCTGCCTTCCTTCACAGGATTGAAACAGATTTTCTTTTTCTTCTCTTCCTTCTGCTATGCAATCCCCTAGTTATTATGAAAAGCAAGACAAAAAAACTGCCTCCTTTCCTTCACCCCATCCAACTTCTTTTCCCCCAGGCTTCTTGCCACTTGCTTCAGTTTTCAATTGTTTTTTTCTGCCACACTTCATCTTTAAAATTCCAGTTTGTAGGGTGCCGGGGTGACTCAGTCGGTTAAGCATCTAGATTTTGGCTCAGGTCATGATCTCACGGTTTGTGAGTTCGAGCCCCGTGCCTGACTCTACACCTCTGTCCAGCTTGGGATTCGCTCTCTTCCTCTTTCTCTGCCCCTCCTCTGCTCACTCCCTCTCTCTCTCTCTTTCGAAATAAATAAATAAACTTAATTTTTTAATAAGTAAAATAAAATTCCAGTTTGAAGGTGATTGCTGCCATTGACCATATCATTAACTCATATGCCAGTAAAAGAAAAACTGGCCCCAGAAGATCCAAACACCCACCTTTCTACTCCTGTGGCTTGTCATTCATCAGTTCTTCAAACCTTATCCCCAACCCTAGTTTCTGTGGCCACCTTTCCCTTCAGTCCTGAAACTGTCTTCAGACATTCCAGAATGCACTATTGACACTTGGAAGTTTTTAATCATGGCCTCTCCACCATGGCCTTCAAAACACATGTCTTACATGTCTCATTTAACTCCCAAAATGAACCCAAAAGTAAGAAAAGAAGTATTCCTCGGCCCTGTTTTGTTCAATAAAGAAACAAAGAATTCAAGACATCAAGTAACTTGCCCAAGATCATGTAGTTAAAAGACTGGAGAAATAGACCTCTTTGGAATCTAGGACTTCTGATTTCTAACTCAAAAGGCATGACCATTGTAGATTAAAGTAAACAGTCTTTTGGAATATGTTTATTGCAAAACTGCTTGACAAGAAGCATACCTGTTTGATAATGCTTTGCCAATTAAAAAAATGCAGTGGTACCATAATTTTTAAAACAAGGTCTAGTATGAATGAGAGCTGTTTCATGAAGAGACAGAGTGATACTGTCAGCAGTTGCCTTAAGAATATAATTTAAGGAACATAGGAAAGTTGCCTCATCCCAAAATGTCTGTCTGTGGAGGATACCTAAAATATCTGTGTATGGTGAATGTCTGAAATATCACTATTAGAGAACCAATCTTTGCTTAAAAGAATCATTCTTTTTTAAAGCTCATTGAATGTGGAGGAGAAGGTGAGAGTGACACCTTATGCTTTCTCAGTTATTAACCTTTTTTTTTAAAAAAAAATATTTATTTATTTATTTATTTTGGGTGGGAGAGAGAGTGC